TGGAATGAAGAGGGTCCGGTTGACGATGAGATATGTTCAGGTTCAGAGGACTACAGGCATCAGGAAACCAATGTTTTCTTCTGCTGTGAGAGAGTCTCTTAAGAAATGCTTGGCTGCTTTTTCTTCATGCGCAGGAATGTTTTGCAAACACTTGTTGCACAATCTGTCTCTCGGTATTTCACTCTGGATTTCCGTAAACCTGATCCCTTCTGACTGTGCCTGACAAAAAAATCTATCCAAGGGAAATTCATTGGTTTGGTGAGAAAGCTCCAGGACAATGTAAACCCATTCTAGACACAGGCAGCGGATAATGCTGAAGAGGAAAATGAGCATATCTTAAATCTCTAGAATAACTCACATTGTAGGGAAATGTCCACAAGTTGCAACTAATTCAGAGCAGGCCCAGAAGATAATCGTGTAGCTGCTGTGGATGCAGATACACCCAGAGCCGATGACAATGTCCTACTCTGATGGTACAAACCACATCGCTTTGAAACTATGTGGCACATGCCTTTCAAGCAATAAATAGCAGCTGATGTAGAAAATCCAGCTGATTTATGCTAATGTTGTAGGGTAATGCAAAATGCCATGGAGTTTTACTCATGTGCCACTAGCAGATTAACACAGACGTGTCTGTGGCAAAGAGGACGAGGTGTGGAATTAGTTATGTTGCATTTCTGTACATCTAGCCCAGAAAGGGGAGAGAAAGTTAGCGTGAACTGCATCACTTTAGTAAGGCACAAGCTTCCTTTTTCCAGACAGTTTGTTTTCTTTGCCTAACTGGAGCCTGTCACTTAGAGACACCTCTAATGTCAACTGAACTAAACGTTACAACCATCCCCTGATCCATACAGTGACAGAAGAAGGTTAACATTTATTTGCTTAGATTTTGTGGAAAAAATAACCAGTCAAACATTTAAATCGGCAGTTACAGACTGAACCCTGCTACAGCTTAAGAATGCTCCTGGAGCTCTCTGTCCTGGGACTATGTCACATGAACCACAGCTTTCCACTCTGGTTGGTTTTAATATCAGAAACGCGTTATAATTGGAAGGGCAGCCTATAAGCAGCACTGGCACACAGGTTTACTGGTCTAACCACAGGCCTGGAGACTTGCTCTGCTTCTACTCTTTCTGCTGTGTCCCTTCCTGTTCTTTTCTTGGGACTTCAACACAAACAAGGGGAGCTTTCCCTTGAGAAGGCTCATAGTCGATCATGTAGCAGGACCGTGCAGGAGGTTTGAATGGAGGGGGTTCCAGCTCAGGCTGGTGTCCAGGAAACCAGTGAGGCTCTCGTTTAAATCCTAAGGGAACACAGAGGAGGCAAGTGATGAGTAAATGCAAAGTAATGAGCAGATAAGCAGATGAGACACCAAGACTGTTGTCATCGAGCCCAGGTGGCCTCCACCCTTGGCTAACTCATATACAGGGAAGCTAAACACGGGGGTTGAGGGGGTCTTATAATGCATGTTCAGCTGGTTGGCACGTCCCAGCAATTTATCATCATATCTGGATCTTACTTTGGGAGGAGAACATGCTGGAAAGACTTATCTAAGTAGGAGGTGTAGGATCTTCAAAACCACCTCAGCAAATAACTCATTTGAATGCTTTTCAACATCCCACTTCAGATCAGGAAAGAGAAATATTCCACTGATGCCCCCAGCCCTGCAGACACCACTAGATCTGCGGTGCGTTATGAGGATTCAACGTCTGACTCAGGTGTGGGTACTGCCAAAGAAAGGGTGCCAGACGCAACACCCTGCCAATTGTATCTGGCATTGTGGCTCTGTACGAGAACAGACAAAAAGAGAATCTTTTTGTGCCCACGCGGGCAGGAGACAGGGATTCCAGACTAAATAAGCCCATGGTCTGATCTGGTCCTAAATAGCCTTTGTTCCCCGCCAGGGACTGTGAATCTTTTGTCCCTGATCTTTCATGTGTTGGACAGGGTTTTGGCAAGGCAACTGCTGTTGATGTGGGTGCTAACTGTGCAAGTGAAATTGGGCATCACATGCTTGGCTGTTTGACACAGAGGATCCAGCTACCAAAACCACTAATCTCTTGCTTTGGAGGCCTGACTTCCTCCCATACACAGCACACACCCGCATGGGTGCATACCTCTGTACCTGCTCTGGTCAAACCTACTGATTACACTTAGAAAGACACAAAGAGCAATGGGAAATGTGGGTTCCTTTGGCTTCCAACATTACATTAATAAAAAATGCATTAGATGTTGCCATGATAGGGCCTAAGTATTCGGCAGTGTAAATGGACAGATCGCTTCCCCTGGAGGAAAAAACCCTGACTCCCAATATCAGCATTTTTCAGACTTTGCTTTCCTCTAACCATCTGCTCAAAGATGATCTGCCTATAAAGATGTTCCACTTGTTCTTTCCATGGCATCACAGGTGCATGGAGAGATAAGCAAAACATCACTCATATCACTGAGGCCACCAGACACATCCTGAAACAGGACTGATCTAGACACGGCAAGGACCGTTCTCTGCGAAGTAAAACTTTACAAAAGTCTAAAACTGACTGAGAGAGAATCGAGAGCAATGAGTATGGATTTACGTTCAGAGCCCTGGGCATCATTTTGATAAGGAATTTTAGCCTCTGAAGAATATAAAAGGAACACCTGAAATGCAAACACCCCACACCCTGTGTAACTTGAAATACAAGCTCTAGATACTGAGCTCTAGAGGCACAACTCAGCAAGGAAAAAAAAACAAACTCCCTTTTCAGTTCTGCCCATAGTTATTCAAAAGCTTTTCATCATCCACCACACAGATCGAACTGACTATGTTCCAACTCCATGCACCTACTTCTTGGGCTGTGATGCTTCTCCTTGTTGTAATCAGATGAATAAATGGTTTCAAAATAGTGAGCATACTGAAAGAAAAAGCACGTATTTAGTGAGGCAGAACATAAGCAAACAAACATATAACAGGGAGGGAAACATTCTGTTTCTGGTAAAGACGTAGTTCAGTCGTCTTTAAACTCGAGCTGAGCTACAGCCACTACAGAAATGACTCATCATCTGCAACTAAGTAATATTAGCATCACTGGGCGACAGCCAGAAGGGTGACGACAAAGCAAAGTGAAACACTGACTGGTGAAACTGAATTATAAATAGCTTATGATTTACAAATTGCCTTGAGGTGCTTTGCCTGAACCAAGGCCTTAATTTGCAAAGAAATGTATGGCTTAATGGGTCTGCTGCTACCAATATATTTCCCTGCAGCAAGCAGGACATGAGGTAGGACAACTTGGGTGACTTGAAGTCACAGGCCAGGATCGGGACATCAAACACAAAGGACAGAATACCAAGGACAGCATAAAAGCAAAGTGAACAGGAAAATGGCACTAGGGACTGCTCAAGGACTGAGAGCTGAGAGAGGCTGGTCCTCAGTCGTGAAGGGGCAGGAGTCAGATATAGGAGAGCAACAGGACAGGGTCTTGTCTGCCCGTAGGAAGGGCTGAGGGAACAGAAAGCTGCTACCTGAGAAGGGAGTGGTTTGGGCTGCACAATTTTTTGGATATCGAACCGCTCCTCGTTCCAGTTCCCCATCAGGGTTTTGTTGGAATAAGCATCCTCGTTGGTCGTGCATCTCCAGCCGTACTGGATAAACTTGGACATGCTGTTCCAGTCTGTCCACACTTCACCGTGGCCATTGGCATGCATCATGGTGCCACAGTGCGGGTTATAGAAACACGACAGAGACATGTTCTGGGGAACAGAAACCACGAAGCACATTGGGAATGACTCCGATCTCTGGCAAGACCCAACAGCGTGTTGAAAAGTTGTCCCCTCTGACACCCTGTTACTTGGCCAAGCAGCACCCAGCTTCCCATAGGCCGAATTCTTGGGTGTGGTGTGTGTGCATGTACGTGTGTGCGCCAAGCCTCCTTCCCTAAAAACACGTCCTGCTTCACCAGCTATGCTATACCAGCACATCACCCTCACCATACACAGGTCAAGGGGAGCAGAGAAATTAAGTGACTTATCCAAAGCCAAAGAGCCGATAACTGAGCTGAAGTTAGGGTTTGCTAATTGCAAGCTCCCCGCCCTCTACTCAGACGAGGCCTTTTCCTAATAGAAGCCTTGCTCAGCTGTCATTATTCAAGTGATTTTTAACAGATTTCCTTGCCCCGAAGAGCAGCTCAAAGGACCGCAAGCAGCAAAACAGAGAGTGCCAGGACTGCTATTCCAACTCAATTTATGTTACAACGTGAATCCCAAGATACACAAATGGAGCCATAAGCGCTATCATCTATCACCAGACTCTCTCGGGTGGAATTACGGTTCCCTTGGTGACACCGGCGTTCGCAGGAACGGGCTCGCGTCTGAGGGCGGGGGAAGAGGAAGGTTTTAAGCATCTGAAGGGTGTGGGAGAGGCAAACCAGTAATGCAATGAGAAGTTGCCATGAACGGCACCGGGTGGCTTGACCGTGTTCGGAAGAACATCAGAGGCGGCTCGAGCTGAGATCACGAGCCAGAAGAAACCCGGTGCAAAAAGCCTCGCCAGGGAAATACCTCCGAATCCGTAGTGATTGTTTGACCGAGCGATAGAAGACTCTCGTCCATGGCAAAGCTACCAAGTCCTCGTCCTAGTCTCAGCTATGTCAGTCTCGGATAAAAGGGCGATACCAGGTCCTCAACACACGGGCACGGACCCGAGCGCGGCAGCAAAGCGCTGCCAAGGCCGTGCCCACAGACCGTCCCCGACAGCAAGGGGCAGGCGACAGGCGGCGGGGGACCAGGCAGCGAAAAATACTGACTGCTCATGTTTATGAGGTAAGGGCTTGATCACCAGCTGGCGCTGATGTCACCAGCTCCAGCTTGCCGGTGACGTTAGCCGCTGACATCACTCGCTGTTTCCCCGAAAATTTTGGGAGCCCAGTGGGGCCGAGGCATCTCGCTGCTTAGCAACAGCTGACAATTAAACGGATGCCCGACGGGGGAAGCCACGTCGGCCACCGCTGCTCCGCCCGGCCGCACGCGGGTCACGAGAAACGACGACGTCCTCCAAAAACGTGTCCATGGTCTCCAGTAACCGAACCAGCCCCCCCGCTCCCACCTCGCGACCCCCC